AAAGACCCCCCCCGAAATTTAATATTTTTAATTTTTTTTGGTTCAAGGGGGTAGGGTTGGGGTCGCGGCACCCCAATCACCCCCAACCCCCTCTCCCCTCGGCCTCTGCGGGCCGTGGAAATCCGCGGTCACAGCGGTCACAGCGGTCATGACCGCGGGCCGGCAGTTGACCGCCCGGGCCGCGGTCATGCCCGCGGTGACTGCGGCCGTGGGGGATACATAGGTTGGCGTCTCGGCCTCTGCCCCGGCCCCTTTATTTTCTCTGGATCCTATTGGTCGATCAGGTGACTGGGGCCCAGATTGCCTCCTCACCCCTTATCAGGGGTTGGATAGCAGGCAGCGTTTGGAAAGGGCTTCTGAGGCTGGGGTTTTTGAAGGCCAACCTTCGGCCTGCTATTTTCCTGCTGCGGGGCCTTCCCCTAATGCTCCGCCTGCTTGCGGCTTTGAGGGAGCCTTAGCTGATTCTGCTGCAGTCATCCCCGGGTGAGTGCTAACATTCTGTCATAGTCTTGCCAGTCTTGATCTGCCTCTGATTTGCACTCATTCTCTGTCCTCGAGTCCATGGTTTGGGCTGGTGCTAGCAGCTTCGAAATAGGAACCAATGAAAACAGGGGGCTCGTTCGACACTCCTCGGGCGCATAAATTCCCCGAGGAATTGTTCTTTCCACCTATCCTCGGGGATGCAGTCGGAAAAAAAAAAGTGAAAACACTCCGAACACTCCGAAGGAAAAATTCCTTGGGCTCCGAGGATTCCCCAGCCATTTCTTCCTTTTGCCCAAGCCCAAGGGACGAGGTCCCTTGGGCAAAAGGAATCCACGTTTCACGGAGAGGAGCGGGCACATGGGTTTGCCCTCCATACTGCATGCCCTCCATGTGGCGGCGTTATACATCATGTCATTCACGACGTCTATCCACCTATACTGCATGCCCGCCATGTGGCGGCGTTTACCATCATGTCATTCACGACGTCTATCCTCCTATACTGCATGCCCGCCATGTGGCGGCGTTTGCCATCATGAACTTGTGTTCGAATTTATTTATTTTTTCAGCAGCTGAGGCTGTCTCGTCCGAGCACGTGTTTTCACATGCGCGCGCTGAACAAGCGGGCAAAGCCTACTGGGCCTTCCCCTATCCCCGAAACTTCCTTGTCGCGACAAGTTCATTTTTCTGCAAGTGTTCCAAATAAATTGCCCTTTCCCGCTCGGCCCACCTCTTCCTCCCCCATAGCACTACTGGGCCTTCCCCTATCCCCGAAACTTCCTTGTGGCTACGAGTTCATTTTTCTGCAAGGCTGGGACCAAACAGGGAATCGGGCCCGGTGTCCCTTATATTACAGAGCCAGGAAACGGGCCTGGCGTCCCTT